CCCCTCACCCCCCCCCGCCCCATCCCCAGCTACCCGCCCCGGTTCCCGCCGCGGCGGAGCAGCGTGTGCTGAAGGGCGGGAGCTTCGCGGAGCTGCCCGCGGGAGCGGAGGGTCCGGGCCGTGCGGGCTCGCCTCGTGGGTGAACTGGGCGGGGGGAGCCGCGGGAGCCCGGCCGGAATAGCTCCGGTAACCGGGGAAGGGCCGGGCGCCCAGCCCTGCTCTGCCGCCCGTTTCCCTGTGCCGAAGATAGTAGAGAATTAATTTTTTTTTTTGTATTTCATAACTAGTGTTTCCCAGGCAGCGGCTGTAGGCCAGCTTGCATAATCTTGTAACTGATGATGTCTTTGAGATACCGCCTCGAAAACCGAAGCGTTACCGACGGAACGGACGCTTACTGTCGAGTGCTCGTGCCCGCGTCTTCCGTCGGGCGCGGACGAGGCGTTTTGCCGTGGTGCAGCCAGTCGCGGGACCCTCGAATTTTCAGGCTAATTACACGTGCCTACACACCGACCAGCCCAAGAGCTTTACATCGGTGCCTTCGGCCATTTGATCCTTTTATATGGGCAGCACGTGCTTAGTATTTATAAACTTCGTGTTTAAAATGTATTTGGAGAGTTGGAGGAGGAAGTTCTGCTTCAGTTGATCGGTAGAATTTATCTTTGAGTCCTGACAGCGAAGTGGAAGGAGTGTTCAGATTTGGGCAGTGTCTGATCGGCCCCTCGTGCCGTAGCTGGGTGGCGAAGGGAATGTCAAAACCTACTTGGAGTTGCCGTTTCTGTCGCTTCAAGAGGTGCCACGTAGCGAAAATACGGGTGTGAGACCGCAGGTGTCGATGCAGAACGTGTTTTCATCTCTTTGTGCGTAGATGCCTTTGTAACAGACGTGGGGATTTGAGTTAACGATGGGTTTGGCTGGAAGAACTGGCCACCTAGGCTAGTGGCCTTGATTAGTGAGGTGTTGAGGAGCTGAAGCTATTTGTAGGAAGATGCTGGATTTTAGAAATCTGATGGAATTCAGGTGATATGCTCATAAACCATGTGTGTTTAATAGACTTTAATTATAACCTGCTACGATTCCACTTGTCTCATGATAAGGGGTAGATTGGCAAGAGTAGCCCGTAAACCCTTTGGTTTTTCTGTGGTGTGAGTTTACCTGTTGTTAGGCTACAAGGGGTTAGATTTTGGCAAAACATCCCATTAGATGCTGCTCCCAGTGGGCTCAGCCCGCTAAGCGTTGCGTTCAGCGTCATGGATGTTCCTTTCCACGCCTGCTGTATAAGGAGGGAAGTGTTAAGGGTGATGTTAACGTTTTGAGGAACCTTCTGGCTCTTGGACATCACTATTGGTACAGGAGAGCACAGACCATCCTTGGTGGGGCAAATAAGGGTTAAAGTTCTGTCATGAATGGGAGAAAGACGTTGAGACGTGCTTCCTTTTCTGTGTGTGAAGGGAAAATGTGGGGTGGGACAAGCAGAGTGGGGAGGCAGAGGTAGAGTTGTGAGTATACCTGGAGTAAAGTGTTGGGGCGTGCGCCAGGAGGTTTTAGGGGAAGCGGTTCTGTAGGTGCCTTCCTATTCGTGTGATGGGCTTAGCCTGCACCGTCCAGACTCTGTGGCTCTTTGGGTCCACGTGATTTGCACGGAGTTTGAAGTAGAAGGATGTGCAGCTGGCTCTTCGGGGTGCGCTTACGGTGAAATCCAATAATCTGAGGGATAGCAATAAAATGCTCGGTTAAAAGGCGGAGCGAAGCAAGAGCCGCTCTCGGTAGCAGCTCCAATTCGGTGTCGTGCCTCGCGCTTCTGCCAGGAGAGCGTCGGCTTCCCAGGGCGGGGGGGTCACACGGTGCCGCCGCGGGGCCGGGGGTGCTCTGGGGTACGGCCGAGTCAGAGTGCTGCGTCTGGCTTGGTTTACACCTCGTAAATTGTTCCTTCCAAGTTCGCAGCTTTTTTCTGTTAGAAGTGACAAACTGTCGTTTTTTTACTCTAGTGTGGTACGTTTTTAACGAAGCACTACAGACATCTTGAATCTTTTGTTCGCTTTTCTGTACAGACCTCCCGCGGATGAAACGCTCAGAATTTGCTTTTCTCTGTCTGTGTTAAGAGCAGTGATTTGGGAGGACCATGAAGAGTTATGTTTTTGTGGGTGGGGTAGAGAAGGGAAGGGGAATGATTCATAAGTGCCTTCAGAGGTTATTCTGCTCCAGAACACGTGTGATGGGAGCTACAGTGGAAGTTTTCCTCTGGAGCTGCGGTGGAAGCTGTTTGACTCACAATAATGAACTTTACAAATAGTTTCACCCTCGCAGCTTTACTTCCTTAGTGGTAAAGGTGTCAGGGCACTTCTTGTGCTGATTTCCAGTGGAAAGTTAAAGCAGTGGCGGCGATGCAGGGTTGGTGTGGCCTTTGACACGTCTGGTCTGGGTTCAGCAGGGAGCCAGCCTGCGGCTGGTGTCTCCCAGTCTCGGTGGGAGATGTGAAAATTCAGCCGGTCGTCCCGAGGCTTGTGTTGAATCTGG